TCTTATAATCCAATATATTGCGAAGATACATTCAGTCTGGAAGTTGGAGTACATGATATGTCATAATTTGGGCCTAAACCATTTGGGACTCATATTGCCTGCTTGCATACAAATCTACTCCACTTTTTGAGACTAGGCTCAGAGGCCTTGCTCTTGATTCTACAGTATTCCTTTTGCTTTCAATGTCAAATCATCCACATACATACAAGCATCATACTCCAGGATAAATTATTGTAACTAACCTCCATTTAACTCTCATCCACCAGGATTTGGGTGGGGGGGCTACTAGCATTCAGTAAATTGAAAGTTATCCAAAACTACGAAAATTTAGGATTAGCGGTAGGGGTAGGGGTAGGACTGAATACATATGTCTTCTATTTCCTGAATTCCCACAGAATTTCAATCCTTGCTTAACTCCACTTGAACTAATCTACCAACAACCACACATTACATCACATTTACTTCTCTTTATCACAGCTTACTGAAAATTGCAATGGGACAGTTTCTGTTCTAATCCGTCCCACTTCCTGGGATGAAAGCAATCACAACAAGAATCAGTAGAGGCTATTTTTGTCCCAGTCACTTAAATGATGGAACATGACCAACGGCTCAAATTGTTCTTTAGGTGACAATATCAAAACAGCAAAGCAAAGTGTGTTGCACCGTCGGCCTTGGTTTATGCACATTATGCAACCAATGTGACTCTGGGTGACTAAATATCCTATCTTGATTATGAAGCCTTATATTATCGCCCTTCCCACCTCATTTAACTCTCATCTACCAGGATTTTTTTTTAAAAAAACTTACTAGCATTGAGTAAGTTTGGGGTTTTCTGAATCTGAAAATGTCAGTATATCAAGGATTAGCTGTATGGTTAGGCTTAGGGCTTAATATATAAATGGTGCAAAAATGGCCATCAATTCAAATTGTCCACTGTAAACCTCAGTGACATATGTCCAGATATCCAGATATTCAGCTTTTAAGCATGGATTTAGAACTGTATTCAACTAATGTAGCATTTTTCAGATGACAAGTTTGCATATTAAGTGGAGGCAGGACACATACATGGAATCCTTGCCATTACGAAGCAGTATTCAACCCAAAGACTTTGGCAGATGAAGCGAAACCCAACCTTGCTATTAAACAGGATGCTGCCCAAAGAGACATCTCTACCACCCAAAGCAAAGATAACCGTAAATTACTGAGGTTAATTGAAGACCCTGGTGGGACGGAGGAGGAGGAGGAGGAAGTTCCTCAGCAACCCTTGCTTATCTGATGATGAACATCCCCCCCTGTGTCTGTTCCTATTATCTCATCCATCCATCTCTCAACCTGGAAAGCATCTCTTGACTGTTGACCCCAACTTGAACTCTGGCAGCATCCAGTTTAACCCTCCGAACCACCAGCCCACAGCGTCAGCTTCAAACCCTGTTCACTGAGCTTCAATTGTGCAGACAACATGCCTAATGAGGATAAATTTATGACACGACTGACAGACACGAAGGATCATGGGCAAGGAGAAGCACAGACCTAATGACATCAATTGTTAAGTCCCGTTAAAGATGTCACAACATCACCAATCAATCCTTTATGTTAAAGAATCACAGTATGTACTTGCATTCGTCAACCCATGTCTGGGAGGGGGAGGAAGAAGTATTGAGAACAAATATGTTCTCTGATGTAGCAAGTACCAAGTGGATTCATTCACATTGTAAGTATAATGGCCAGCCAATCAAAATCTAGTATCTTCCATGCTGGAAAATGATACTAAATGGACTCAAGGAAGAGCCTGAAGGCAGACATGATACGGCAGCAAACAATTCTCGTCCTGGGCGCTAAGCTGGGCGGAGAGACCTGACATAAACAAAGAATGGAGAATGGCTTTGTGGTGGTTGTACAGAAGAGGGGATCTCAGCAGATGTGGGATCTACACCAGTACTTGCGTCCTTTTAAGGAGAAAAGCAGGGTAAATATTTTAAATAAATATACACACAAACACACACAACTGTGAGAGACACTGGTGCCCCCTTCCTTATTTACATCCAGCACTATGGAAACACTACAGCGTTCCTGTTTACCCATTTTGTCCATTCGGAACCCTCACCTCAGGGCCTCCACATTCATGTTTTTCTATTCATAATTCTCAGGTGCAGGGGTACAGAAACAACTAGGTCTAGTCATTCTTTTACAGCAATGTTCTCAAGGTAACTCAACTCAGCAGAATGCTTGGGAGTAACATAGCTTGTCACATCCCTCGCTAGTTTCTTCTTCTCACCAGCGGTACTACTACAGCAACCCTCTCTTGCACCTTCAGTGACATAAAGACAAAGCTCCCGACTTCTCTGCTGTTGCAAAACGCAAACATGGGGGCAGCGAAGGTGGAGGAGGAAGCATGGCTCTTCCTAGTCTGCTGCCAACGTGGCTGTTTCTGAGAATATGTGACTAAAACTTTCTTTTGCACTTTGGTAACCGGTGTATAGAGGGGCGTGGCGGCGCTGCGGGTTAAACCACAGAAGCCTCTGTGCTGCAAGGTCAGAAGACCAGTAGTCGTAAGATCGAATCTACATGGCGGAGTGAGCTCCCGTCGCTTGTCCCAGCTCCTGCCAACCTAGCAGTTCGAAAGTATGTAAAAATGCGAGTAGATAAATAGGAACCACCTCCGTGGGAAGGTAACGGCGTTCCGTGTGTAGTTGCCCTGGCCACGTGACCATGGAAACTGTCTATGGACAAACGCTGGCTCTACAGCTTGGAAACGGGGATGAGCACCATGCCCTAGACTGGACTAAATGTCAAGGGGAACCTTTACCTTTACTTTTAACCAGTGTATGTCCCTACACTGGCTTTTCCTCGAGTCCTGATAAGTCACGATAGAAAGTGCACAGCCAGGGGGCAGGAGCCTATGCCTCAGAGATCCCTGCACTGGGCAAACATGAACCCTTAACTCTTTGTCTGTGAGAGTCCAAGAGGTACCATCTCTTGCAGCTGTGCTATCTGACAAACTCCTCAGGCTGTGGGCAGAAACAGAGAAGATTCCAGCTTCTTGGTTAGAAGCTAAGTTTCCTTAACCACTGAAGGCCGTTTTGTTCCCACCCACTAGCTTTTACAGCTTTGCAAGCTGCAAATGAGCTTGTTTTTGTTTGTAGATTGGGACAAACACAGGATTCATTTGTAAGTTGATTGCACAGGCATGGTCAACACAACAAAACAGATGGCTCTTGGGGGGGGGGTTTCGCTTTATTACCTCCTAACTGAAAAATTGGCCATCTTGTTTCTTTCTGCCTTGAGGTGCCATCTCACAAGCAGGAGTCATAAAATCTCCTCACAAACAGGAGTCAGGGGGAACTCTTATTGGCTTCTCAAGTAAGCTGGGTTAGAGGACCGCAGCGCACACCTGGGCCATGTGCAGGATGGCACCACAGGGCATACAGCAGGCTGGCAGTTTCTTTTGCCTATACACAGACTTGGCAGACAGAAAGACAAGGAGCGTACACCCAACTGCCAGGGTCCACCTTTCAGAGATCACCAGTTTTACACTCTTTCCACTGTTATTACACATACTTTCTGTTCAGCAAGACATTTGATGGACAAATGGTTACAAAAATGCCACAACAAGGACACCAAGCTTCAGGTAGTGAAGGAGATGTCTCTCACTGCCAGCAATTCATTGTTAAAACCATCCCTCACAAGACAGACAACATGAAACTTGAGGTAAATTACATACACAACCAGCCAGGACATTCATGACTAAGGTAAAACTGAAACTCTCTCTATCCAAGCAATCTCTTAACGGAGACATTATTTCTATTTACTCACTGTGACATTTATACAATTCCACAATTATTCCACCAACCATTTTGATGTTTTTATCCTGAGTGTGTACACTGTGACTAATCAGGTCTCCTCCCACCACTGCCATCACCACGTTTACTACCAATATAAAGGGTATCCCCTGTTTAATTTGACGTTCACATTTACAACCAGAACAAAAGTCACAACCTCTGAATGTGTACAGCAAAACTCCATTTGCTTCATTCTGCACTTGCACATGTATTATTGAAGCATGTTGCTTTGACAATTAGCATCAGGCTTTTTCCCCCTTTAAGCTATTTGCAACTGGGTTCTAGTTTTATGTTGGGTCCTAAACAGGAGGGGTTTGAAATATATTGAATGCACTCTCCTCCGTGATTGAGATTTAAGTCTATACACAGTTAACCTGGCAGCATCTTCCACTGAATGCATCAAGGCTTACTTCTTTGTAGACATGTATAGAATTGCACTATAAACACAGTAATCTAATTAAGCTGTGTGGAGTGTGCACTCGGAAATCAAATTTGCTCAAAGAACTTACTGAGTGCAGTTTTTGTTCTGGCAATCAATGCTGATTCAGTTCTTGTTTCATCCCCCCCACCCCACCCTTCTCTATTTTGCAGATATAAAAGTGATGGAAAATTAAACAATTGCTCAGTTTTTACAAAAAAAAAACCTTCAAGAAAACTACCATCTATATCAAATTTGGGAAGAAAAAGTTACAGAAAGCATCTTTTTATAACAATATTTTAATCTCAGGAATAAAACAGCTATAATATAAAATAATATATTGGGAGGCATAATTCATGTTTCTTAGAGATACACACACACCCATTCATTCATTCATTCATTCACTCTCTCTCTCTCTCTCTCTCTCTCTCACACACACACACACACACACACACACAAACACACACACACACACACGCACACATAGGAATTCAATGCACAGAAAAATAACACTAGAACACCCAAAGTCCAGCGGCTAAGCAGAGGCAAATGTTTAAATAGAGAACTCTTCTAAATCTCCCATTAATTAATCATGGAATGACAATTATATGTCTGTATGGCATCTGCTTAAACGTCTCTTCTCTTTTTCCCCAAAAGTGAAAGAAACAAGATGCGTTTTAAAAAAAGAAAACAAACAAGCAGCTCAGGCCCCCGACAGATTCTAAGAAATCTTAGAAACTTACACTGCAGTGTTTTCATCAGTCCAACCCAGCAAGCTTCCTTACGGAGACGTTTTAGGTTTTGTATCCATACTGTGTTCTTCCTAGTGATGTGACTGCTCAGGCACATGGTCCAGCTGCACTCAGCTTCTCGCTTAGTGATGTACGAGAGAGAGGCAAGCTCGGCTGATTTATCTAGTCTTTCTGTAGCAGATTAGCACTAATGTTTCTGCCTCCTCATCCTACGTTTTCCCCCCCAGTAACAGACTCTGCACTATCATCGGCAGCCCAAATTAAACAGCAAATACTGTATAACAGATTCTCTCTTTGCATGCGCGCGCGCGCACACACACACACACACATCAGTGAAACAACTGCCAGGCAGCTACACATCCAAGAAATAACACTGTTTAAATGTATTGACTCTTCCTCCAGTCTGCCTGCTGGGAAGCCTAGTCAATAGAGTGGCCTCTTGCTAAATAAAACTGGAGTTCAAAGGTCTGCTTGCAGTTTATCCTTCTGAAACATTGCTAGTTGAGACAGATGGTCTCAGGCAAATATTGTGAATTCAGAAAAATAAGAAATTTTGCTCTTCATAGCCCCACAGAGTACAGCCCATATAAATTTGCTATTTGTTCAGTGAAATAATGTTCTGGGAATGAAATGCACAGGCTTTAATGCATTTAACATCCATTAGAACTCAGACGCATAAACAAGTTTTATTTAATTACAATAAAGGTTATGCACCTGCTCTCCTGCTTCTACTCAAACCAATTTCTTTTTTTTGCCAATCACACTAGGTATCTCAGAATGTAAATAGCTCCATGTCACTCTTCTTAAAGAAATACTCATGGGCTCTGATGGCCTACACTTTGCCTCAGAAGACGTGCACTATTTTGGTGGACCTATTAGGAAAGGACAAATGGAATAAATGTCCTTTTTAAAAAACATTGCTCTGGGCTTTCCAGTAATCAAGGGGTATCTTAGCAACAGGAATCCATATTTTATTCATGACGTTTTCAGGCCAAGACACCATGAGATTTTTTTAAAAAGTTTAAATTTTCATAAGCACTCCCAAACACTCAAAAAAAACCCCACAAAAACCCTAACCAGAAAATGCCCCAGAGTATTTATTCATTACTAATGTGAACAGCGAGGCAAGTTTTCCCTCTGCCTAATCAATCTGTATCACTACTCTGCTTAACTTGATGCTCTCTCTATCCCTTCTGATTGAAAGCTGTCGGTAGACATCAGCATAAACAAACTGGTCCTTCAAGTAAAAGCAAACATCCAGTAGACATCAATTATTGCATAAATTCTCATCAGTTTTGGAAACTCTTATTCACAGATGTCAAAGAGTTTAGAAGATTTGAGTTCCCTTGATTACCACACATAGTAACTGTGCATAAAAATATGTACAACAAAGAGAAATACAAATGGAAGCATTTCCTATTATACCATACAGTGATCCTGGTGTATGTGTGTATGTGTCTGTTTATGTATGTGTGGGTTAATCTTTCACACTCCACAAATATTAATAATATAAAGATGTTCAACATCTTTTATCCCAAAATGGGAATAAACTTTACACATATATAACAGAATCTTCCTCCTTTAGCGTTGAACTTTAGAATGTCTTCCTTTCAACCACTGCCTGTGAATCGCAATTACCTCAACAACACTTCTACTGAGGTATAATAACATCTACTGCGATTTCATGGGAGATGTTAACAGAGAGCACGTTTGATCAAAACAGAGGTTAGTTCTGGCTGCAAAAAGGAAGCGGGCGGGTGGGGGGAGAAATGATTTTTGCTCTTATAACCAAGTGTCATGGGATCTGTAATAGCTGTAAGCAAAGAAAGTCTCGTTGTTTTACAATCCCTTTGAAGACAAGATTTAATAGCAGGAGCAGCATAGCACATGCTCAGTGGTTCATTCCATTTCCCACCTCAGTTGTTGACTGTCTGCAAACCACGCCTTCCTTGAGAAAGGGGAGAGAAACCTAGCTTTATGTGGGCTTTGTCCATACTCAGGTGGTTCGCCAGGCAGAGGTAGTGGCCTTACACATCAATGATGCAAGCCTAAACTGCCTTACTGAGACTGAAACTTTTTGAACATTATTTATAAATACACTGTTAGTATATTTTCTCCACAAAGGCCTTATTTGGCACCTAAAGGTGTCGCACACTGATAAAACCATGGATCTTTAAGCTAGTATTTTCTCCACAAAGGCCTTATTTGCCACCTAAAGATGTCGTACACTGATAAAACCATGGATCTTTAAGCTACACTTAGCAGGCTTAACATAGGTTGAATACAGAGAAACATTTCACGAACCAGGTGTACCACAAAATCCTCTTCTGATTAACACAGGGGTGGGCAACCTTGGCTCTCCATATATTTTTGCCTATCCGCATCCCTTAGCCCTACGCAACATAGCCAGCAGTGAAGGAATCAGGGAATTATACTCTAAAAAAATATCTGGCATTGCCTATCCTTGAGTTATCTGGATGAGATTGATGATCAAGGTACTTCCAGGTGAGAAAGCTCACCCTACAGTATTTTAGGCATATGTGTAGCACACTGTACCTACCTGAAGAGGGCAGGATTCTGTATATTAGTCCTCCCCAACTTGGTGCCCTCATGGACCCTGACCCCCATAACTCCCCGTCCAGGCCAACATGGCTGCATCATTTAGTTAGCAATCCTTTGTGGCTGGTTGTGGCAGAAGTGTTGACTAGTTTCATAAGTTAAACATGGACCATGATGCAAGCTTGGAGGACTCAGTCAATATATCTTCATCTATCAAACAAAATAATTTTACAGTCATGTCTCGAATTATGGCGTACTCACCTCCTAAACCAGACACAGGGACATAATCCCAAAAACAGCTGTTCTGCAAGAAACCTACTGAGCAGTCTAGTGATCTCTGTCATTCATTTCCATGGATGGCCATTCATTCATTCTTTCCCACTTTTGGATCCCTTACATCAACCCCTAGGTAGCACAAATAAAGAATCACAGCAACGTATATGCCATAAACCGGCAAGCCTAGCAAAGCTGTCCTGTAGTGGACATGAGCTAGGACTCAGTTCGAGTTCGAAACTCTGCCATGGAAACTCACACAGAGGTTGGCACTGATATATATATATAAAAAAGTGGGATAATGCAACTAAGTGATTCAATGGAACCAGTATAAAAGATAAGAGCAACACAGAGTACTAACAGGCTTGACTCAAGTTCCAGAGAGATAACATTGCTATTAACTGGATTTATAAAAACCAATAAACAATGCAGGAAATCATCTGTAATCCATCACCGGTGAACTATGTTATGTGCACCTTTTAACAAGCTAACTTTTTAAAAAAAAGGAGCTTGCAGGATGGTGGTGCAACGAATAAAGTCCAGTTTGTGGTGGGTGCCTCTCCAGTCAATTTCATATTTCAGAAGTGGAATCTACTATCACCACACCTGAGTAACAAAGGGTTTGTTTTTCCAGTGGAGGAAAAAATGGCATTAATAAAATTGTGTGATGAGATGGAAGAAATCAAATGACTATTTTGTCCCTGGACCTCATAGAGTCTTAAAGGAAGGCTGGGTACTATACAGAAGGGTTTAATACTTCAAAGACATCTTACCAGCGAAAACAACCTGCTGGCCAACGCTCTGTATCATGCATATTTGAAGTGGTAAAAGCTTTGATATGAGGTATTAGCTGAAGTGACTAAAAGCAATTAGCTCTTCTTTCTGTGTAATGGAGAAATATGTCCTCTTCTATCCTCTTTGATGAACACAGAAACGATTCTCAAAGATTTGTGCTTGATTTATTGCACCCAAGTGCAGATTTTTTTTTAAAAAAAAATTAATTTTAATTTTGTTTTGCTCTTTCAGGATCAATAGAGTTAAACAGAAGTCTACTTTGTCTTCAGATTTCAAACAAGGCCAGCTCACCCACTAAAAGTGCTGGCATCTGTCTGGTTGCCCTAAATATGGGGCAGAAGGGAACTCGCAAAAGCATTCTCCCTTCTCCACCAGGTTCCTCCTCATGGGCCTGTTCTCAGGTTTTGGAGTGCAACAGGGAGCCTTCAAGAGTGAAGCAAGACGCTCAAGAGATTCCCGTCCCGATCTATTGTTAAGTAACAGGATGCTCCGAGCCATCATCTTTTTGCCCTTCTCCCACCCTGCAACTGCAGACAGCACTCAAAGTATGATGGCTGGGACCGCAGGAAAGACCAAACACTGTTGCAAAACCCAGGATGCAAAACTCCGTGCCTTGAGGGGAACCTGCTTAGTTCATGCTTTGTGGGTCTTCCATTGCAGGTTACAACCAGTTTGCCCTGGCAAGCCTTTAGCTCACAGGTGGCACATGTACTGGGCTCTCTGGGGATTCCAGGAGCTGGTCAAACCAAGGAACTTTGCCAAGCACTAATTCCTGAGAGAAAAGAGGTCCTGTAACAAAGTTCTTCTTTAGCCGGGGGTGCGCTGGTGGTAAAGGCGAGAAAAAGACAAGGCGCTCTCTTCAGAAAGTCTAACATTAACATTTTTATTAGCAACAGAACTCAATTCAACTGAATCAAAAGGATCTTGCAAACATACTTCAGGCAACAACTTATACTTTTTCGGTCTTACATCGCGAGGCTTATCGATTTCTCCTAGAAGGGAGCCAGTCCGAAGCGTTCCCGATCTGTCAAAGGTCTGAGGGGGGCACTCCTTACTGCACACACCGTTCCACAGCACGGATGCCTGGCCCAGTCTCCCTCTGGGGGTTTCTGCTGGAAGGAAGGTCCAGGTCGGATCACCCTCCTCCCTCCAGGATGATTCCTGGGGTAAACCACTACAGTCCATTCTAGAGGATCATATCCTCTTCCTCTCCCACCAGGTATTATCGGATCAGGGAGTAAACCCCCTCCTAAAGAAAGGTTAGGGAATTCAGCAGTGATACCAGTCGCGCCTCCTGCTCCGAGCATGGGTTCTGTCTGCACCCCTCGGTTCACCTTTCGTTCAGGATCCCCGTCTGTCCAAAGTCTAAAAAAGTGTCCGTTCTTGTCCTCCTTTATATCCTCCCACACGATGAGGTCTAGCTCCTCCCCTCCCTCGTCAGCCAGGGATACTTCTGCCGGTTTTTCCTCAAATCCTTCCACTTGCTCTATCTCAATCAAAACTCCCTCTACACATCCACTCTCCTCTATGATCTCTTTCTTCTCTGAGGACGGCACACTCCTCTTCTCGCTTTCACAGGTCCTTCAGAATGCGGGAGTTT